AACCATTGGTTCAAAGTCTTGCCAACTTTTAGGCTAGGAGTCGACTCACAGTCCCCTAATGTCTACCTCCCAAGCAGCTATGATTATAGGTTTTTTTGGATTTGTTTGTTTGTTTGTTTTGAAGAGAACAGAAAGACCTTGGGTCACAGGAAAAAAAATGGAAAATGTTGGGAGAAAAGATTGGTAAATAACAGAATGTTGTCCTAAGGAGAAACTGTTTCTTCATCATCATCATCATCATCTTAATGCAAGAAGGGAGCCTTTCAAACTGGAGGAAACAGGAAAGAACACGTTGTCTGGATGGGATAGCCTTGAAGACAGCGAAAGGAATAGGAATGACATGGTGGAGGAGGATCCATGGCCATGGGTGCCCAGCTTAGGCTAGGACTGCTTTTGGGATATCATCAGTCCAAACCAGCCTGAGGATCTGTTTTTCCCCAAAGAGTGGCTCTGCCTCCTAGCACCTTCCTCCTGAGCTTTGTAATTCTCAGCCCAGAAGTGATCCTCAGATCAGAGAAGCAACAGGTAACAAAACCTGCTTGTCTTCAGTGGAGATGCTGGCACATCATCTTTGCAATGTTCTCTGATGATGATGGTGTCACTTTCTTTTCAGGGATACCGGGATCTGCCCAGCGTGGAAGAAGCTGCTGGGGTCAACTGGAGGAAAGACAGATAGGGAGTTTATTTTTAAACCTATTTGGGCACCAGAGCTGCCAGTGAGCAGCCGACAGCTCTCGGGAGAATGGAGATTGGCAGCTAGTCAGACACTTGTCAGGAAGCCTGGAGGCTGCCCAGCAGGCTGGGGTTCAAGTGGCTGAAAGCCAAGGCTGAGCTAGAGGGGTCGGGCAAGGGTTAGAAGAGCCCAAGGAGGCAGCAGGGACTCAAACACTGAGACTTGGGCCAGCAGCCCCTTGAGTGACACAAATGCCCTTGTTCACTCATCCAGGGTGTGTAAGGTCTAGTCTCAATCTGTGGTCAAATGGACTGTGTGAATGGTTCTGTACAGGAGCAGAGGACTATCAGAAGTCTAGTGGGGCCCCTCACCGATGAAGCTCTCTTATTAAGGTGTTCTGTCTTGATTCAGGGGAGCCAGATGGCACTTAGTCCCGAGAAACTATGTTCTGCAGAGATGTGTCTGTGGCTACACAATCTGCCGACCTCACATTGGGACTCCTGAGCTGGTGCAAGGGCTGCTGGGGCCTTTTGGTTGTCAGCAGGGATGGGCTGTGGCTGGTGAGAGTTTAGGGCCTCTTGGACATGAGAGCCATAGCTCTAGCCTCAGCACCATCTCTAATAATATCTCTAAGAGTTTACTTCCAGCTTTGGAGCACAGGCCTGTAGCCATAAAGCTTTCTGGGTTTCACTGGAGGTCTTCAGGAAACTTTTCAGCATCAAATTCCCTAGCTAGGCTGCTTCTCTCCCACAGACTTTTGGGAATGGTAGGTAAAAAAATCTATATGTGTGGGTATGCATACCAGTACTGGGGTTTGAACATAAAGATGGAGCTCTACCACTTGGGTCACAGCTCCACTCTGGCTTTTTGTTGATTATTTGGAGATAAGAGTCTTGTAGATTTGTCTACCTGGGCTTGGTTGAAACCACAATCCTCAAATCTCAGTCTTCTGAATAGGTAGGATTACAGGCATGAGTCACTGGTGCTAGGAAGTTAGTAGAAATCTTATTTTACCCATAACAAATTCTCAGAGTCCAGAACTGGCTTCAGGGCAGGACAAATTTAGGTTTCTCACTCTAGTTAAAAGCACCCCATCTTACCAACATTGTCCTGGCTCTGCTCTATGCTCTATTTCATTTGTTTGTAACAGAGTTGCACTGTGTAGCTCAGGCTGGCCTTGAATTCTCAATCCTCCTTCTACATGAATCTCAGCCTTCTACATGAATCACCCATGTCCAGCTCTGGCCCTGCTCTTGCCTTCTAGAGAGGACTGTGCACACAGGTTCCCATGATGCGGCAATGTCTGTTGTAGCTGATCCAGGTCCTTCCTACTGTGCCTTTCTGCTTCCTCCTGCCCTTGCCAGATTTCAAGCTTTCTGGGTTTCATGTTGCTATCTCATAGCAGCAGTTAGAGCCACACGGCGCCCTTGAGCACTTGAAATGTGGCTAGTCCAGATCTGGATGTACTTCAAGTGCAAACCTGAGTCCTGACATTATGTGAAGGGAGTGGGGGGGTGGGAAGAGAACAAAACAGAATATAACACCCCACTAATTATTTTATGTTGGTTACATGTTAAAATATGAATAGTTTGGTTATGTTGGTTATAGCTTTTCTTTCTTTGGCCTGAAACCAGGACTTGAACTTAGTATCTGAGGCTTTCATTCATTGGCTGGTGCTCTACCACCTGAACCATGCCTACAACCCCAAAGATTCTAGTTTGTTTTTCTTTTAATTGTGCCAGTTCTGGGGCATAAACTCAGGACCTTGGGCATTTTCTGCCCAAGGCTGATGCTCTACTACTTGCGCCATAGCTCCATTTCCCTAGTATATTGTGTGTGTGCATGTGCACATGCGTGAGCCTTTTTTGCTCAAAGCTAGTGCTCAGAATTTCCTGCCTAGTGGCTGGGAAGGTGGCTCAGTGGTAGAGCGCTTGCCTTGCATGCCTGAGGCCCTGGGTTCGATTCCTCAGCACCACATAAAGAAAAAGAAAAAAAGCTGGAAGTGGCCTTGTGGATCAAGTAGTAAAGCGCTAGCCTTGAACTGAAGAGCTGAGGGACAGCGCCCAGGCCCAGAGTTCGGGCCCCACAACCAGACCCCCCCCCAAAAAAAAAAATTCCCTGCCTAGGCTAGCTTTGAGCTGCAATCCTCAGATCTTAGCTTCCTGAGTAGCTAGGATTACAGGTGTGAGCTAGTGGTGCCCAGCTCCCTGTTTCTTTTTAAGCATACTATCAGGAAGTTTAAAATTTTTGCATGTAGAAGCAGGGCAGGAGACCATCCAGATACCTTTCTGCCCAAACTTTCCTGTTCTGTTCTTCTGGAAGCGCTACTCTAGACCCTGGGCTGAGCCATGACTCATGTATCACTGCTTCTCTAGCCTGGCAAGAGACTCAAATGCCTGCATGGCATAGAGGTGCTACCTGACCCCCAACCTCCATCCTGGCCACGTGCAACTGGCAAAGGAGGTCAGAGGGAGGCTTGCCCTGGGTTCTGAGGGAAACTCAGTCCTCTGAGATGATCTGTATGGCCACAATTGCAGTTCCTTTCCAGCCCACTAGAAATTATTTCTCTTGGGCAAGCTGGGCAGAGAGGTGCTGGTATCAGACAGGCAGGACAGGAGCAAAGAAGGTGGGTACCTCCTGGCATCGCTCTTACCAGCCAGCACTAGCACTGTGGGAGATTTGGCAGGCAGTGCTGGGACTGAGAGGGGGTGGATGACCCGGCTGATGTTCCTGACAGGAGTTGTCCTCAGCCTCTCTGTGTCCTCTCTGCCTGCCCCTAGCCTCTGTCTGCCAACAGCCATGCTTTCACTCCTAAAGGGGCAGTGGTAGGACACACGGGACTGAGAACAGGGAATAGAGAAAGGGTTAAATGCAGAGATGGAGCTGCTGAGAGGCAGGAGCTACGAAACAAGTTAAAAATAGGCTAATCCAGCCCAGAGCAAGGAAGGCAAGGACAAACCCAGACTTGAGTGTGTGACTGATGGGTTGGAGAATAATTCTGGCCGCTTCACCCTGCACACAGAACAGAAAGAGGAGGCCTTTGCCCTCCGGAGATGCCTTAGATATGCCTCTGTATCTTGGGAGGATTGAGATGCTGAAGTTGGGTGAGGACTGGTGTCTGAATGTGGTCCTATGTCCTGTCTTTGCAAAGAACCCTGTGATCCTAGGAGATCAACCCAATTGGGAGCGGAGCAATGTTCTTTTTTTTTTCTTTGCCGGTCGTGGGGCCTGAACTCTGGGTCTGGGTGCTGTCCCTCAGCTCTTCGGCTCAAGGCTAGTGCTCTACCACTGGAGCCACAGCGCCACTTCTGGCTTTTTCTGTTTATGTGGTGCTGAGGAATCGAACCCAGGGCCTCATGCTTGCAAGGCATGCACTCTACTGCTGAGCCACCTTCCCAGCCCCACCCCCCCAGCAACGTTCTTTTTTTTTTTTTTGTCGGTCGTGGGGCTTGAACTCTGGGCCTGGGCGATGTCCCTCAGCTCTTCAGCTCAAGGCGAGCGCTCTACCACTTGAGCTACAGCGCCACTTCCAGTTTTCTGGTGGTTTATTGGAGATAGGAGTCTCACGGTCTCTCCTGCCCGGGCTGGCTTTGAACCGTGATCCTCAGATCTCAGCCTCCTGAGTAGCTAGGATTACAGGCGTGAGCCACCAGCACCCAGCTGGGAGCAACGTTCTTGTACCTACCTGCTGGCAACTTCCCAGGCCCCTGCTGCTGCTGCTTTATCTCCTCTCAGTCCACTCCTTTTACTGCCTCCATCTTTTCCCCACTTTTATATCTCTGGGTACATAAGACTTCTAGGGCCTCCTATGGTTCTTCTCTCCCTTTTCCCCCAGAATAAACCTCCAGGTCCACCTTGGCAGGAAAGTGAGAAGACTATAGCATGTTCCAGACTCCAATTCAGGCCTCTGACCAGTCCATTCCCAGTGTGGCCCAAATCCCCACTCCCCATCCCAAGCTCAGTGAAGCAAAGATGTGAACCATCCAGGATCTAAGGCTTGCCCAGCTTCCTGGAACTGGGAGGGGAAGGGAGGCTTCTCTGACTTTAACTGTGAGGGGACATCAGGTCACTGCTTTGTGGAAATCAGCACAAGGGTACCTCATCTTTGCTGGAAAAGCAGAGGAAGGGAGGGCCAGGCTTCCACCCAGTGCTGTTTCCTCACTGAGAATGGGGAGACTCGCCCTTTCCTTCCCTTTCCCCTGCCATCCTAGGCACTCATTTCCCATACTTGGCACCCCAGTTACCACACTCCCTTCCAGGATCCATGGGTAGTGGGGATCTCAGATCTCCAGTGTGATTGTTTACACAAAAGAGAGACACAAGCCAGTGTGAGCTCCATGGAAGCCCCAGGATGAGATCTTTAATTGATGCTCCTGGCCCTGCCTCCCCCCCCAGCCCCAGATGATGTATATACAGGATGCAGAGGGAGCCAGGTCCATGCCAGGCCAATGCAGCTCCCATTCCTTCTTGGGAACTGCCAGGCTGGGCACTGCCAGGGTGGGGCTGGATGATACAGGCAGCCAGGAGCTGGACTGGTCACAGGAAGTCTTGTGCCTGCCACTGATATGCACACACACACACATACACACATGTACACACACAGACATGCCCGTGTATGTGCAAGCATTCACATTCCTGCAAAGATATGGCTCTACATGCCTGTGCTGTCATGTGCCACCCAAGGATGGAGTCCTCAAGGTATTGTGCCCTTCCTCCTGTCCTGCTCTGGAAGGCACCCACCCAGTCCCCTCACTGGGGCTGAGTACTGAGGACCCCACTGTAACCAGATGCCACCCAGTCACTCAAAAGACCATCTATCGGTTTGCCTTTGAGGGTGCTTCAGATAAACAGGAAGCCATTTTCTCCATAAAAAGACCTTCCTCAAAAAGATTCCAGAAAAAGAGGGACTTGGACAGGCAGCTAGGGGCCCTTGGGGTATTCAGAATCCCCCAGCCACGCCCTGGGAGGGGTTGCCCCAGGGAGGGGATGCCATTCATTTGTGGCTTTCATCCATAAGGCAGCCCACCCCTGACCTGCTCTGCCTGCTGACTTGGGGCCTAGGAGCCGAGCAAGGATGGTGAGAGAAGGCCACGGCAGACCTTGTCAGAGGGTGAGGAAGTCCGCCAGTAGGCCTCCTCCTGGCTCTCCAGCTCGGCCTCGGCAGGAATCGGGACAGATGGGGGACATCTGTAAACGTATTACTTGGCCCTGGCATTCAGGTAGGGAGTAGAAAGGGTTTGCTGGGGGTTCTGAGGACCTCTCTATAGAGGCCCAGGATCATCCAGGCCTGCCCTTTCCTGACGTTCTGTTCCCTGTCACAGGCACTGGGTCACCTCAGGCCCTCTCCACCTGGAGAGTCCTCACTGGAGAGTCCTCCTGGCCTGGAACTACCAGGCCACACCAGGGACACCTAAACCCTGAGACAGGTAGGTGACATTTTATTTCAGAAACTATATTCTCTTACTCCTTTTCTACCCCATTTAAGGGGAAAGGTCAGTCATTTTGGAATTGAAGACAATCTGGGACATGTGGTCACCATACCCAGAGCCTAGGCTGTGGGCATGGGACAGGCAGCTTTGGTTTGAATCAGCACTGTACTTCTTGCAAAGCTCTGTGGGGCTGGGCAGGGTGGGGTGAGCAGGGATGCCCAGCCTGTACCTGGGGTCAGTGACAGGATTCCAGGTGTAAGCCTCCCAGGGGAGGGCCTAGAGGCTGGCTAGGCCTCTAGGTCCTGCTGTGAGTGTCAAGACAACCTTACAACTGCCCTGGCCTTGGCACCCCCAAAGTTACATTCATCTGTTAAGATTAAGTTAAAAAAAGAAAAAGAAGAAGGAAAAAATGTCAGTCCCTTCCCCCTAGGTACCAGAGAGGAAGGCCCTGGTCCCAGAGGCCTGGTTTTGAAGGCCATGTTCGCTGGTGGCCCCCACCTGAGCTGTGCCGGTCTGTGATGATGAAAGCTACATTCACATGGGGAGACTTGATGTGCGAGGCCAAAGCCATATGAGGTGGAACAGGGGACTGTGGGAAGGAAATGAACTCCAGGCAGGGCCACCCAGGTGGTGCAAAGGGCAGGGCCACAGCCCCACCCCAAACCCCTGTGAAGCCAGGAGTTGAAGGGTTTGGACCTGGAAGACATTTGCACGGTGCCTCCCTCCGTGGCTGGGTGGGGGCAGCCTCGTGGTTCAGGACCGAGACGGTGGGTGCCAGGCTCGGAAGGAGGGGGATGGCTCTTAGGCCCCTCCAGACCTGGAACGGAGAGGGGGCATCAGGGGGAGATAGGAGGCAGGGCCCAGAGGGAGAGCCCTCCAGCTGGGCCCTGGGGGGTTGTAGGGGGGGTCAGTGCTAGGCCCTGGAGGCAGCAAGCCACAGGCTGGCTGGGAGGGGTCTGGCAGAGGTCAGACAGCGGTGACATGGCGGACAAAACAGATGGACGCAGAGGGAGGCCCCCTCCCAGGGGACAGGGTTTGCGTGGTGGGTGGGGGGTGGGGCACAGCTCCAGGCCGACCTGGCCAGGGGGTCTGGCCAGAGGAAGGGCAGCAGAAGGTGGATCACAGCCTGAGGGGACAGGTGGGCAGGAGGAAGGGGCAGAGCAGGCTGAGGACTTTCTTCCCAGGCTGCCAGCAAGGTTGCAGGAGGGAATCGCCCCACTCCCAATCAACAGAATGCGAGAGACGAATGAGATGGAGGAGACAAGGACAGCAACAGCGGGAGGGATGATGTGGCCGGCGTCACACTGCCCCCTGCTGGGTCGGGTCATACCTTCCTCGGCGGATGTTTCTTCAGCAGCCCAAGGAGAGGACAAGCAGAGAGAAAGGAAAAGGAACATGACCCTCCCTTCTCTATGGGAGGGACCTCTGGCTCTGAGCCCTTCCGCTCCAACAGTCTGGGTTTCTCCTCCCCACAGATGCCAGGGACCTAGAAGGCGTGTGTCTCTTACTTAAATCCCCAGCCCGTGCCGCCCAGGACGATAGCTGCAACCAGGACAGCCCCGGCGATGGAGCCAATGATGATATTGGTGCCGCTGGGACCTGGGGAGGAGGGCAGGGCTTGGTTGGCAGGGACAGGCATGGAGAATGGGAGAGACAGACCAGGGGGGCCAGCTCCAGTCTCACCTTTATATCTCTCTGTCTCCCCAGTGGGTGGAGACGTGGGCAGGGGGTTGTGGATACTGCAGTCTTTGCCTGTCCAGTCAGGCTGACAGATGCACTTCCCTTCGTTGCTACAGACCTGGGGCAAGTGGAGGTTGGCAGAGGTGAGCAGGGGCATGTCCCCTGCTGTAAGCCTCTCCTACCACCTCTGATCTCTAGGTACCAACCCCATGGTGGGAGCAGATTCGGCGTTCCCCACTGCCCGGGCAGGTGCTGAAGTTGAAGGCAGAGGCTGGCAGGCAGCGATGGTCCAGGCATAGCATATTGGGCCCACAGGCCGTACCATCCTCCACATAGCTCAGGTCAGAACCATCAGCCAACTGCACATGGCCTCCCCTGGGGAAATAGCACAGCCAGCCTCAGGTCCTGCCTAGCTCCCATCAGAGAGGTCCCCTCCCCTTCCCCAGCCATGCGCCAACAACAACAACGTCCCTTCCCAGCAACAATACCTGCAGTCCAGCTCCTTGCCCTGATGGTAGAAAGTGACACTGCTGATGTCTCCCCCCAGGTCTCCCAGTCGAGGGGCTCCAGAAATGTTGACACACAGGAGAAAGCCACAGAGTACATCCCTATTGGGATACATAGAAACAGCCCCAGGTTTGACTGAACCAGTGAATTCTAATCTCCCCTATCCATTGGGCCTCATAGGCCTCCTCCTAGGAAAACCTGCTCCGCCATCTTTGAAGAATTTCACCCTCTCCACAGAGCTGGAGACACCCATCAAGTAGGTGCCTGGGCTACTCACTGCTTATTGCACTGGACCCAGCCGGACCCCTTGCGTCCACAGTTTCCACGCTCTGTCCCCTCCACATTCAGCTTCTCATAGCAAAAACGATCAGCAGCCACTGCAGGCAGGTAATGTCAAGTATTACCTGAGCTGCCCCAGGCCCTCAGGTCTGTACCTCCCACACTCTGGCCTTACCCAAGGCTGGTTGGGTTCCTGAGATCCTGGGAGTCACACATTTGTGTATATGGGGGGGGGGCGGTATATTCAGCAGGAAGCTACCCCTCTCTAGCCTCTCCATTCTGGGTCCTCCAGAGTCCCCATCTCCCTGATCTGGCCATACTCACCATGGCCCCAGAGGGCCTGGCACTGCCGGTCCCGAGTTTTGCAGCGACCCCCATAGCAACGGCCCTAGCAGGCAGACAAAGAGACAACAGATGGAGACAAGGAATCATATAGAGACAAGAGACTGCCCTGAGTCCCAAGGGGGAGGGGCGCCCATTCCACATACCTGCTCGTGATCACAGTAGTAACCATCCAGCTTGTGCAGGTTAGGTGGACACTGTGGAGGGAGGGGCTGACTGAGCAGAGCAGCCCTAGCATTGAGACCCTGAGACCCACCCCAGGGGGAAATGCAGATGTGCCTATTTCTCCCTAAATGGGGGATCATTTCTCAGCTACAGCCTTCTTTCTACATTAAAAAATAGTGGAGGGGCTGGGAAGATGGCCCAGTGGTAGAGTGCTTGCCTCGCATGCATGAGGCCCTGGGTTTGATTCCTCAGTACCACATAAGCAGAAAAAGCAGGAAGTGGAGCTGTGGCTCAAGTGGTAGAGCGCTAGCCTTGAGCTGAAGAGCTGAGGGACAGTGCCCAGCACCAGAGTTCAGGCCCCACGACTGACAAAAAATAAAACTAACTAAATAAAAAATAGTGGGGGAGCCGGGTGCTGTTGGCTCATGCCCATAATCCTAGCTACTCAGGAGGCTGAGATCTCGGTTCAAAGCCAGCCCAGGAAGGAAAGTCTGTGAGACTCTTTATTGCCAATAAACCACTAGAAAACCAGAAGTGACGCTGTGGCTCAAGCAGTAGAGCTCTGGCCTTCAGCAGAAGAGCACAGGAACAGCGCCCAAGCCCAGAGTTCAAGCCCCACAACCGACTAAATAAATAAATAGGGACTCTGTCTGGAGGGCTGACTCTGGATTCATAAGTTCTGTAACCTCTTTAGCCTACCTCAGTTTCCTGCGGGGAGAAAATGCCTGGCACCTAATTAGGGTTTCATGAATGCAGACTAATACACTAGGCAAGTATGGTGCCAGGCTCTAGGATACCAGCCAGACTACGAATGCTGGTCTAATGATCAAAGGAACAACGCCGGGAGATACGAAGAGCCCCTTTCTAGGAGAAAGAAACTAGGGCTCATAAACGTCAGGTGTGGCCCGCTGCAGGCAGGGGGTGGGGAGACCAGACCTCCACAGAATGAAACCCTAAGGGTAAGAGGTGCCTTGCCCAGGGCTCTGCAGGATGACCTGGCCGGGCAGACCTGGCTCGAGTCCCCCGTGCAGGTCTCAGCGATGTCACACTCGTTCACCGCCTCTCGGCAAGAGACGCCCCTCGGCTCGTACTGGGGAAGAATGCGTTCATGGGCTCAGACCGGACACAGCACCGCTCTCCGTCTAGGAGTCCTTCTCCCCTCCCCCAGCCCCAGTCCCCAGACAGATTCCCATTTCAGCGTTGCCGCCACCTCCGGGCGGCTCCAGACCCTGGGCTGGTAGCTTCTCCAAGTTCGACCTTCGACGTCCCTGGGTGGCCATGAAGCCCCACCCCCAACCCACCACTGGGTTCGCTCTTAGTGATAGGCCCCGCCCAGACACGAGTCCCGCCCTATCAGACCCCGCCTCTTTCCTTAAATCCCGCCCCTTGCCGGATGGCGTCCTTCTGGCCCTCCCTCCTCACCTTGCAGCGGCGACAGCAGAGCCCATCGCTGCACATAGCGTCGTGAGTCAGGGTGCATTTCTTGCAGCAGTTGCCACCCGCGCGGCTGCACTCCTGAGGGTCGGCAGGGAGAAGCGCAGGGAGGCGGGCAAGCCCTAATTCTCTCTACTCGGCGTCTCCATCGCGTCCTTCTGCGAGTCCCCCACCTGGCACCCGCGCGTGGCGCCCGCGCCCGCCACTCACCTGCACTGAGCCGCAGTCGCACTCCTCCCCGGCCTCCACGAAGCCATTCCCGCACTCGGGAGGGTCCAGGAGCTGGGCCAGGAAAGAGGTCGGGAGGCTGGCCATATCTTGCCCACAGCCCGCTCCCCGGTTCCCGGCCCAGGAGCTGGTACCTTGAGGGGCTTGTTGAAGAGGCAGCTCCCGCCGCCCTCCTGCAGAAACTGGTTGTATTCATCGATGCTGCAGCGGGAGAACTTGCGGGGCAGGTAGAACCTGGGCAAACGTGAAGGGTCGGTGGCACGGGTGCAGCCCTCCGGCCCTGCCTCACCCCTTGTCAAGATTGGGGAGCAGACATGGTCGCCATCGCTAGGGGCTGAGGCTCTTCCCAGGGAAAGCCTGTTAGTCCTTCCACCTGCCCATCAAGGAGTGTGAGTGAGGAACCTCGGGACGGGGTTGGAGCGCTCTGCAGAGGTGGCGCCTCCGCACGTGGCATGGGCGCCGCCCAGTGGCAATTGCACGCACTACAGTCCGGCTAGTTTGGGTGTTCAGCAGGACAAAATGAGTCTTCCCTAAATAGTGCTTGCAGACAACGCCACATCTTAGAATGCTAAGCAATTCTGCTTAGCTGGGTCTTTTGAGGCCACCGGCCTAGAAGGCCATCTAGCACTTGTTGTAGGACTCTCCTTCTCTTGAGTTTCTCCCTAAGAACTCACCCAGTATCTTCCATGATGCAACCCAGCCAGATGTCTGGACATTTGCAGTCCCCTGAAAGGTAAGCCAGGACATGAGTGGGTCAAAAACAGGCCCCCTCACACCCTTTCACTTCAACATGTGCTGAGTGTGCATCTGGGATAGACCCGGGGCCTGCAGGGGAGCCTTCAAGGGGTGATACCTGCTGAGCTCCGGTGCTTATTCCACATCATGCCCAGGTTCTGCCCCAGTGTCTGAGCCAGGGTCACTGCCATGGCCCCCATGTTGCCATACTAGGGGTGGGGAAGATGGACATGAAGATAGTTACATCTTCCAAACATGCACCCGTGCATGTTTCACAGCCCCTCCTCCAGACATCCCCCAACCAACCTCCCTACTCACCTCATTCACACCCCCACCTCGTGACAATGAGCAGATGCCCCCCACATAGGCTGCCCCGCTGCTGGTGCTCTGGAACGTTCTGCCCCTGGAAGGAGAGAGTTGTCAGGATGATTTCCATCCTACCCAGGGGGCTCCCCTGAGCTGTAAGGGGTACCCCTAATAGTCTTTGAGAGGTAGGTTTTGCCCTTCAGATCAATGTGTGGCCTCAGGCAAGCTCCCCCTGGGTTCTTTAGCCTACAAGCCAAATGAGAGAGGCTCCTATTGGCTCTTTTCTAGCTGCAAGGCCCTTTTATTAGACTTTCCTCCACCAGGTACTAGGTCCCAAAGGAGGGGATGATAGGGCTGTCTAAAAAGGTGTGTGTGGGGTGGGGAGGGGAAACCAATGGGAATCAGAGGGCAGAGAACCAACAGGGTTAAGGCAAAGGACACCAGCCTGATTTAGGGGATGCTTGGCCAGGTGCCCACAGTAAGGGAGAGGTGGCAGCTACAAAGTGAGCCTGTTCCCTCAGACTCCAGACTCTGGGACGGGCAGCTGACAGGGGCAGGTATTCAGGACCCTTATGGGCAGCCAGCAGAAGCTAGCAGGGTGAACCGGATGGGGAACTCACGAAAAGAGGTGGGTGGCATCGCTGGGCTCAGGCAGACCTTCCCGACGGTACACCATGAGCCGGGACAGGGTCTCCAGGAGGTCATCCTGCACCTGGATCTTATCCCCATCTGCCCATGTTTCCATGGCAACCAGCACAATGCGGGTGTTGAGCTGCTCCTTATATATCTGAGCCCAGAGGGGAGAAGATGAGGGGAGTGGAAGGAAAGAGTAGGACCGGGGAGGGTGGAGGGATGGAGAGCCTCTACTTCCTTCCAAGGAAGTAGTGGTCGGAGGCTGACAGTGACCCCTGAGTGTCAGGTGGAGGAAAGATGTGGGAAAGGGGAGAGAGGCTGCTTACCACATCTGCCAGGTTCACCACAGACTTAGCAAAGTTACTGGTCAGGACCACGGACTGTCGCATCTGCTCAAACTGGGAAGGGAGGAGTGGGCTAGGGGGAGGTTCCTCTGGGCCCCTTGTCCTGTGTCCCCCAGCCTGGAGACTTACCAGCTGGTGGTCATTGATCACAATCAGCTCCACATACTTGGTCTCACTGTGCACTGTGGCGTGGCCCCTGCGGACCTAGGGGGCGGGGCGGCACTTGGATTCAGTCCCCTCCATGTCTGGCCTTATGAACAAACTCGTGCTGGGGTGGGGTGGGGATCTCGACTCCAGTCAGGGATAATATCAGACCCCCGCTGGCAGGGGCTTCCATGCCTCCCAGCCTGGGATGGCGGCAGAGGTGGGGAACCATGTGGTCGCTAGTATTAGGGAGGACTGGGGGGAGGGGCACTGGCCTCCATCACGCTGAGCCTCCTTTGCCCCACCAGGGGTAGGGGTGTCCTCTGCCCCAGGCCACAGCCCAAGGTCTCTGCAGCCTGAGGTCTGAGTGGGCCCCGTACCTGCCTTTTCCTTCTCAGCCTTGGCAGGTTTGGAAGAGCGGAATGGGCAGAGGCAGCAAACAGGCAGCCTGTGGGGAGGGGCGAGTGAGACAGGCAAGGCTGCCCCCTCCCCTGCCCCCCCTCCTCTCCCCTGCCCCCCTTCCCCTCCCTTACCTGGTTCCCTGCATCCGAGGGGGGCTGGGAGGAGAGGGGTCCGGTAAATGAGGTGGGGAAGGGGTCCCTGCAATGAGGGAAATTAGTTCTTGGGGAGCCAAGCAGGTCTCCTCTGGGCCCAGTTTTTTTTTGGGGGGGCAGCTCCAGCCCTTCCCTCCACCCCACCCTGGGGTGACCCAGAACTGGCCAGAGCTCCCATGTCGGATCTGATCTCCCAGATGCTCAGATTCCGGGGTCAAGACCTGGGGGCGCCCTGAGAGACAGGGGCAAAGGACACTGGAGCCCAGTGGGAGGTCACGTGGGGGACAGAGGGGACATTGGAGCTGGGGGCACAGGAGGCAGGAACCAGAGCCGGGTGCACGGAGGAGGGCGGTGAGGCTGAGGCGGCCGGTGGCGGGAGGAGGAGGCAGCCACAGCTGTGGGCACAAGCCAGGCAGGGCCACCGCACGGACGGTGAGGATCTAGACAGGGCTTACGTGGGGGGCTCCCCAAGGCCCAGCCATCTCTTGGGGCTCCACGATGTAAGTCAGGTTCCCATCAGAGAAGACCCCACTGTGGAGAGAGGTGCGGCTCCCCTATTGTCCCAGGCTAGGCAGAGGGCTTCCCTGCCCACCTCCCTTGTGTCCCCAAACTGTACTCACTGCAGCCCCTGGCAGGTGGACAGCGCCGCAAAGGAGTGTGGGTTGCCGCGGAGCTTCCCCTGGTAGTAGCAGTGGTCTCCGGCCCCCTGGGGAGAGCAGAGCCTTGAGCAGGGCAGAAGATGGGCACCGGTGCAGGAAGCTGCCCTGGCTACAGGCCCCAGGGGCTCTGGAATCTGTATCCAAGCTGGTGAGGCTCCTAATTTGTGTCCCCCTGGGCGAGCTCCTAACTCACCTCACTTAAATGTGAGGGCGCTGGAACACGGCTATGGTTTGTTCTTGGCCATTTGTTGGGGCTAGTGACGGGATCCCAGATTCCTTTGAGAATCACTAATCTCTAAGTGGCATCGGCTGTGTCCTGGGCACTCATCCCATTTTATACCCCAGTCAGCGGGCTGCTGTGGCCTCCCCTCCCCCTCCCCACAATCTACCTTGGCCAGGCCCCCAGACAGGGGGTCTGAGGTTGAGGAAGGAATTGTGACAGCAGGGAGGGGCCTCCTAGTCAGACTCATGGGTCAGAGGGGGCCAGCAGCACCCGCCTCCCCCAACTCCGCTTCCTTCAGAATTACTTGTGCTCCAGTTATGGAACAGGCTGGTGGCGTGGGGGGGGGGAAGGGCTATTTATAGCTACTCATTCATCTTTGTTCAGGCTCAGGGCCTCCAAGGCTGGGCCCCTGGTGTGGCAAATGGCCTGGAATCCTGGGGGAAGAAGGGGCATTTCCTCTACTTTCCCCAAGGGGAAGATACTGACACACAGCTGGTATGACACAGTGAAGGGCACTGTGTATCTCCACGCAAGAAGGAGGCTTGCAAGGAATCAGACTTCCCACCGTGGGTGTGTGGGGCTCAGGGGCTCCCCACCATGTAACTTGCCCACCCTGGCTGCTGATCCTTGGAGCCTCCGGGGTGGAGAAGGGTGTGAGGTCTCAAGGGCCTGGGCTATCCTGGGTACATCCCTGACCTCCTGCCCATCAGCCACCTGTCTCTCCATCTTTTGTTGTTGCTGTGCTAAGGATGGAACCCAGGTCTTGTGCATGCCAGGCAAAAGCACTCCACCACTGCCAGCCCTGTCCCGACACCTCACCTCCCAGACCCCTCCCAAATGCACTCACAGTGCTGTGCTGGGTGGTCCCCTCACGGCTGAAGTGGCGCTCCACATACTGTGAGGAGAGGAGGTGACTGAAAGGCACATGGAGGAGTAGCGAGAAGAAGGAGAGTTTGTTGGTGACATCAGCTTGGCAGGTCCCAGCCCAGCTCAGGGTCACCATGGCCTTAGGTGTCCCCAACCAGCAAAGCCCAGGCCACGGATTGCCCATCCCTGCTGCCCATACCCCGGGATCCAGGCCACACTCACTGGTTCAGCTCCAGGTCCAGGGTGAAGTTGGAGTTGAAGGCTGGGATGACGAAACTCACCTGGGCCAGGTGCACAGGCTGGCATGGGGAGGTAGAGAGAAGTCAGCCTGAGCAGCCTGAAGATGAGAGCTGGGAGCCCTGGGGTGCAGTGAGCCCTGAAAAGGGGCAATGCCACCCCAGAAGCTGAGGGGACCCCTCTTTATAGAGAAGAGGCTTTGTACAAGGTCCTCCGCTTTCAAGACCCTGTTCCTTTCTGGGGTGCAGGGGCAGCTGCTCCTCCCTGAACACGGCCTACCCTTTGCCTTCTGGTGGTCTTCTGGAGCCAATCTCCTGGAGCAGTCTCCTGCCCAGGGCCTTGTGCCAGGCCCTCCTGGGACAAGTTGACAAGGCCACTCCCTGTCAGTGGAACAAAGGGAAGGCCCCAGAAGTCTCATGGAAAGGGGTGAAAGGTCTCTGTCCTGGAGGTGCTTTGTTTCCGTCCTCAATCTCCACAGGAGGCCTTGGACGGTACAGACCCAGGTGGAGGGAGTGGGTGGCCCTGGCTGCTGGCTGACGAGGGGCAGGCATCGTCCAGACAAGAGGAGAGGACTTGGCTCCTCCAGCCCCAAATCCATTGCCCTCTGCCCTACCCAAAGCAGATCATCTTTAATATTTCAATCCCATGGTTAATTTTTAAACACGGAAGTTTTCCTGATAAATTTTTCAAAAGAACCTATGCAGTGGGGGCTGGGAGGCTCCGGGTTGCCATGACAATGGACCAGGCCTACACAATATGGCTGCCCTCCCCGGCCTGGGTGCCCAGCTGCTAGAGCAGGTGTGTGTGTGTGGGAATGTAAGAGCATGGAAGGGAAAGCCCCCTAAGACAAGGCCTGCAGGGGAGTCTGAGATAAGGGCGGGGGTTGGCCTCCCTTTGAGTTATAACCATCCTTAGGACACACCTGGAGGTCCCACCCCAAGCTGGTGTGGGCACAGCCTCCGTCTTATGAAAGACCTAGACACACAGGCAAGGCCTGAGTGGGCTCAGGGGCTAGAACCTGCTTCCCACCTTATCCAGGAGCTCCAGACACCAAGACAGGGTCCTGCCATTCCTCCCTGTGCACGGGCAGCTTCTGCTCCCTACTGGGCGTTAGCGACGGGGACACAGACAGGAGGAAGGGCAGTAGCCCCAAAGTAGCCACAGCTCAGGCCTCGCTGTCCTCCACCACCTAATCCTGAGTAGTCCTGACTGAGTGCTGCTCAAATGCCCTTCATGGGTCTAAGCCCTTGACAGGTATCAGATTTGATCTTCACAACAATCCTCAGATACACATTACTGCCATTCGCATCTGGTAGATGGGGGTACTGAGGCACAGACAGGCTAAACTAACTTGCCTGAGGTCACACAGCATAGAAGTGGAGAAGCTGACCTGGGTAGGCAGACCTCTGAGCCCCAAGGACATCGACTCACCCTGTCCCAGGCCACTCAAGGCTCCAAGCTCCATCCTGAGCCCCTACAGCATCAATCAGACTTGAAATAGAAAGTCAAGGGCAACGAGGCCCCGCTTCCTTCCAAAGCCTCAGCCTGGGCCAGCTCCACTCTTCCCTCCCCTGGTTTCTGGCCAAGTTCCATCTCTCTCCTCCCTTCTCCATACCTGGGCATCCCTGCCTACCTTCCCCTTTTCTCTCTTCTCTCCCCTCCCCTCTGAGTTATTCCCACTTGTCGTGGTTATCCTGAGAGCAGTGTGCTTGAGCCCCCTGTCCTGACTCCACTCTCAGGCTGTGTACCCTCTGGGATGACCCAGCACCCTCTCTGAGCCTCAGAGAGGCTGAAAAAGGTAAGCTGAGTATACTTCCAAGGCTAGGAGGTGGGCTTGTGGGAGCCATCCCTTCTGGAGAATTCTATAGTTTCCCCACTCAGGAAAGCAGCAAAGCAACTTGGCCTGCTCCCTCTGTGGCCTCCACCCTGAGAAAAGCTGCATGGGGGGGACAATGCCAGAAAGGGCTGCCTCCTCCTGCAACCTAAGGTGCTAAGTAGTGGGGTGGGGGAAGGGGACAGCCACCTGCTCAGGCCTGAGAGGAAGCAGGCCAAAAGGAGTGTGACCCCAAAAAGGCAGATCGAAAAAGGAAACCAGCTCCTCAGGTACCTGGGACTGGCCCGGCCGGCGAGGGGCGCCGCTCTGCCCCCTGTCTGAGCAGACAGCCAAATCAGGCAAGCTCATTTCAGCCCCAGCTGCTGCAGCCAGGTGCCTGGAGGGGTTCCTGCCAGTGCCAAGAGCCCCATGACTCCAGCTGAGCTCAGACCAATGCTCTGCCAAAGCCAAATGGTGCTCTTATGGGGCCTGCCTCCTGCCCTGCCCTGCCCTTATCTTATCACCTCTCGGTCCCTGGGGCCCTCTAGTCTTGAGGTCACCGCAGCCCTCCAGCCTCCCTCTGCTCCCTGCCCAGCTCGGCGGCCCTGTGCCCTGCACTTGATCCCAGGGCATCCTGGCTACCATGCGCTCCAGCTCATTTGATCTTACCCAGCTGGTTGAGATCTTTTTGGGTCCTCATTTTACAAATGCCACTGAGGCTCAGGGAGAGACATGGGAAGGTGACACGCTCAGGGTCACACTGGCTCTTACCCTCAGACTTGGGGTTGTCTCTGCCTGACAGCTGTGGTACTTGGAAATGTAATGGCCTCTTCACCACAGGCTTCCTGTTGTGAACCCACCCTCTATTCTGCTTTGGGGAAGGAGGACCTTGCCCCATCCACACTCCCTGGCGGGACTGACCAGAGTCAGTGCAGAGAGGAAGAGGAAGAATCTGTATCTCCAGCCTCTGCCCCACTAAGAATCCTAGTGATGGGAAGGGGACTAAAGACATTTAGTGTCCCATGTGTCCCAGGACAACTGAGCCTGCAGAGCCCTGCTCTCCACAATCTCCAGACACTGCCCTTCAAGCCTCTGCGCCCCGACCCTGTACCCTCAAACTCTCCCATTATCTGCAGGGCTTATTCTTGCCACCTTAGTCTTTGATACCAGTGTGTGTGTGTGTGTGTGTGTGTGTGTGTGTGTGTGTGCGTGCGTGTGTGAGTGTTGGTCCTGGGGCTTGAACTCAGGACTCGGGGCTGTGGGCACTGTCCCTGAACTTTTGTGATCAAGACTACTGCTTTACCACTTGAGCCACAGCTCCACTTCCAGCTTTTTTGTGGTTAATTGGATTGGAGATCAGAGTCTCATGGACTTTCTTGCTAGGCTGGCTTTGAACTGTAATCCTCAGATCTCAGCTGCCTGAGTAGTTAGGACTACAGGTGTGAACCACCAGTGTGTGTGTGTGTATGTGTGTGTGTGTGTGTGTGTGTGTGTGTGTACTGGTACAGGGGCTTGAATTCAGGGCCTTCTCTTCTCTCTTGGCTTTTTCACTCAAGGCTGGTCCTCTACTACTTGAGCAGTACCTCCACTTTCAGCTTTTTGCTGAGGAAGATTTGCTGGTGGGCTGGCTTTGAACCTTGATATTCATATCTGAGACCCTCCTAAGTAGCTAGGATTACAGGTGTGAGCCATCAGTGCCCAGCTGATACTCATTTCTTGAAACAGATACACAGACTTATTACTGATTCACCTTAACTGGAGGTGACCTCTACTCCTCTTGAGTGAGGGCTAATCCTCCTTTCTCTCCAACCAGGGCAGTGGGAGACCTGAGGAGCTGCTGAATCCTGCTTCCCCATGGGTAAAATGGGATAGATACTGTGACGGTTAGGGAAAGTCCTCCTTAATAGGTTCTTATCATAGAGAAGAACAATAATATATAATGAACGACTTGAGGAACTGCAAAAGACCCCTTTGCATCCCCTCCTCCCATAGGGCCATGCCTGAATGGTGGCTTTGTGCTGCAGATCTGGGTGGGTTGGTTCTTGCCTATCACAGGTAAACCTTTCTAGAAGCCCCTCACCCTGCTATGCTTGGAGACACTAGCACTTCTTGGGCTGGGTGGCTAAACTCAGAAAGGCAGAGGCTCCATTGAAGTGTTAAGGCCAGGAGACCCTCTAATCCCAGATGACTCCGCCCAGCCTCCCTCAACAAGGCTGAGGATTTCTGGACAATGAGAACAGTTGCATGAATTTCCAATGATGGGATTTGACCTAAAAATTTAAGGACAGTGTTATCGGTCCCTCTGGGGACCAACACTGGACAGCTGGGTTTCTCTAGGCGGTCAGGAGGGTGCCTAAGTGAAGCCAAGCTCGCAGGCCAGAGCTGGGTGGGAAGTACCTAGCCTCATTCAAACAGGTGACCCCCAGGTGTCCCGAGTCCTGTGCTGTCCCCAGACCCCAAGCCTTTCAGGAACCTGGAGTCCATACCACCATGCAATCTGGGGTGTGGGACACTGCTATGGCTAGATCCCAGGGTAGACATGCAGCAGGGTGAAGGGTAGAGACTTGTCTTTGGTTATGTGGAGGAAAAGCAGGTTCAGAGGCTTGCTTAGGTCACAGGCATTAGCAGCGACCCATATGGTGGCTCTCTCACCCCCAAACCACAGTGCACAACTTTTCAGAGTGGAGTTTATCCTGCGGGAAGCCTCCCTCTACTGGGATCTGCCTGCCCTCAACCCAGACCCTGCTGTAACTGGCCACAGAGACCACAGGGTGGCCTTGGCACCAGTAGGGCACAGACCTTGGGGTTCGCTGCCTGTGGCATGTCTTGTGAGTCTCTCTCCGTCTTTCCAGCATACTTCTGTGCAGCCCGAAAACCCACATCACAGTGCAGGGTTTTACGAAGGGCATCCTCCCCCCCACACTCCAAATTTCTGGCAGATGCTTCTGTGGACAGTTCCCAAGGACTCAGGGACTGAAGCCCCAGACCCTTCTCCTGAGACTGATCACTTCCCTGTGGTCTGTCCTCCCTTTTGTTGTCAAGGAGTCTGTAGTTCCCCAGGGCCAGGCATGACCCATACAGCAGCTTCCTGTGAATCAGAAAAGGTGACCCACAGGCTACATGCAGCCTTGTGTGCCCCTGGGTTTCATTCATCTTGGTTACCTCTTGTTCTGGTGTCCTTATGCAGTGAACAACCAGCCCAACGGTACGCTCTGACCCTCTTGTTCTTCTGCTTCACCCCTCCGCAGCAAACTCCTTGTAATCATACATTTCTGCACTTCTAGCATTCCACTTCTCTGGGCTGCAGGCCCAACATGCTTCCAAACTGTCAATCAGCAGTGGCAAAGAGGGGACCAAGGGTCTCCTATGTTCTTCTTTGCTGTAACCCTGATCACCCATTGGCTAAGAGTGGTGCTCTGAGCTAGGGGCTGATGCTTCACACTTGTAATCCTAGCTACTCAAGAGGCTGAGATCCAAAGGCTTGAAGCTTGAAGCCACACTGGGCAGAAAAGTCCAGAGGGACTCCATCCCTAAAATAGCCAACAAAAAAAGCCTGGCTGGAGGCATGGCTCAAGTGGTAGAGTGCCGCTAACTGAGCAAGCAAGCAATCTGAGCTACTGCAAGGCCCTGAATTCAAAATCCAAGTCCCAGCAAAATAAATAGGGCTGCTCAGGGATCAATGTTGAGTATACTATTGAAGTGCTGTGAGACCTGGGAAGGATAGTTTACCTCTCTGGGCCTATTTTCCATCTGTAAATCCTCCTGGGGTTGGGGTAAGGGTTAAAGAAATTCAGACAGGTGAAGTCAGAAGAGTGCCTGCCCAGCTTGGTATCTGATCTCTCTGGCATCTAATTGCTTCCTGCCACCTCCCTTTTCCTGCCCCAGCCCTGCTTCCCCCAAAGCCCTCAGCACACTGAACCCTTTCCCATCACCATTTCCTGTTGGTGGTAGGAAAGCTGAGTTTAAGGAACAGGAAGAAGGAGTTTGGCAAAGGAGAAGTGAGCAGCCCCAAACTAGAGCAGGTTAGTGTTTGGGGCTGTCAGCCACGATGTAGCCCAGGCTCCTCTACAGGACTAGGGGGCTTGCTGCTAAAGTTCCAAAGCAGGGCAATGATAAGCCCAGTGGGGTGTTTACTGTGCTACAAGCTGCACGGGGCCCCATCAGCCCTGACCCTATGGAGAGGTAGGAGGTGGGAGGTGGGAAGGGGGAGGTGGGAGGTTGAGGGGGTTGTTACCAGGCCCCTTCCAGTCAGGAGTTAAAGCCTGCTGTTCTTTCCTGCTATAAGTGGCTTGGGGAGATGGCCCTTGGTCCCCAAACCAGAGAACTGGAGGGGAAGCACAGTATACTGGGCAGTGCCCTGCTCTTGGAGAAAATTACTGTTTCAGATCTGATCAACTTTGGACAAATGACTTAACCTCTCTGAGCCTGCGTGTGCTCATGTGTAAAATGGAGCAGAGAGAAGGTATCTGCCTAGTGTCTGAGAATGAAATGATGTAATGTGCTTGCGCGCATAGCGCGCAAACACACACACACAGACACACACATATACAGCAGAGAACCAGGCTCAGGGCTGGCAATTCTTTTACCACAGGCAGGTCCTCTGTCTCAGGGAAAACTGAGGCACCTCTAGAGGAGTCAGTGTCTTAAGCAAGTTCCTCGGGGGTTTCATGAAGTGCCTGGACAGTGTCAGTTCCACAGAATACCCTGCCTGAGAGTGAGCACTGCACACAGATCCTCAGAACTCCCCATTCACACCGAGCCCTCAAATAGTGCTCAGGTGTATTCAGACTCAGCCACTGGAATATACACCAGCCAGGCCTCCCACACACCCAGCAGGACGAGGCCCAAAGAGACCCCTGGCCCACCCAGCCCTGCTTGCTCATCCGGGCTTCTCAGGCCCCCACTCCAAGCCCCGCTTAAGAAAGGAGTAGGCTGAAAGTACAATTTACCCACTTTTCATCCCTATCAGGGCCCCATGCTTCCCTTCAACTTTGTCTCTTGACCCCATGGTGGCTCTCCCCTCCCCCAACCTGAACATTCTTCTGAGTACAAGTGAGGGTCCCACTGCTCCCCCAGGGTTGAGTCCCCTCCAAGGCGACTGTAGCCTGCTGGGTGCACAATTTACAGAAAGCCCAACTAGGGACCAAATGTCAGCCAAGATCCTGAGCCTGGGGCCAACCAGCCTTGTTGCCTATGGAGCTGCCTCCCAGGGAGCCTGGGAAGGCACTGAAGCTGGCCCTTGTCCTCCCCCCCCTCCACCTTGCCAGCTAGGGACCATTATCCCCCTCCCCTCTCTCTCTTCCTGCTCCCCTCCTGTCCCCTCCCCTCCCTGCTCTCTGCCCTGAGTGATGGGCCATCCATTATGCATGCTTCTTCCTGCTCCACTCCATTTCTTCAGTGTTCCCCACCCCTGCACCACCTCACCCCCCCTCCCCTCCCTCCCCCTTAAGGGCTTTTAACCAAGTACATTAGGCAGGGCCAGATGCCAGTCTGACAGATGTCTGTAATGTTAGCCTCCGTTTCCCTCCTTCCTCTCTCTGCCCAGCCCAGTTTACCACCCACCACTTGCAGCTGCCTCAACTTCCCAGACTTTGGGGCACCCCTCCTCTGAGTCTCTCCTCTACATCTCCTATTTCTGGCTAGGTCTTCACCACCCAACCCTCTGCCGCCCCCATCGGCCTGGCTAACTTTCAGCTTCAAGCTCCTGGAGAGCAGAGACACACTGAATGAATATTCCATCTGGGTGATTATTATTCACATGATATTAATTAATTATTAATTGCAATTAATCTCCTTCATTCCTAACCTTCCTCTGGGAGGCGGGAGGGGACCAGCAACTGAAAGAGACAGGACACAGGTAGAGCTGGCATAGGCTGATGAGCTTGGGGGAGGGGGGGGCTCAAACCGTTTTCCAGTGCCAGGACAGGAAGGAAGCAATAGCCTGCCAGTGCACCCTGAGAAACTGAGGCAGGAGCAAACACCAAGCTGTTCCAAGAAAGCCTACTGAGGATGATTTTGGAAGCCTGAATCTCTGACTGAGCACTTAGCTGCTTCTCTAGACCAAACTGTGCTTCAAGCAGGACCACTAACTCGGGCAGGGGCGCTGGCAGAAGGCTGACCCCCAAGCAGACTTGAAAACTAGGCTGCCAGGGTCCCTGATGGCTCAGGGTTTCCACAGCGATGAGAGGCGCCTGGAGCTGGGCAGGCCCAGCGTGTCTTTGCGCTGCTGGCCTCCAGCCCCACCTGATGGCCCATTGTACAGAAGGGGAAGCTGCAGGAGCTGCAGGATGGAGATCCCCAAACCCTGGCTAGCCAGGGGCCTCCAGGGGCTCCGAGGCCTGCTTCAGCCCCCTGGCCTCACCACCCAACCCCACTCACCGGGCCTCCGGGCCGCTCCTGGCGGACCCTTGTGTCCAGCTGCTGCTTTCGGACCTCTCCCCCAGAGCTCTCCCTAACCAGACGGCTGGGCTCTGTGACCTCTGGGGCTTCCGGGCTCCCCACCTGGGGTGAACCCCTCCAGTGCAAAGCTCCGCTGGGACCCTGGGCCCCAAGACCTGGGGGAGACAAGGCCATGGCTGCAGGCGGATGCCCTCCGTGGGCCACGGGGCAGGCGCCCTGCGAGCGGAGTGGGCAACCCGGGCCCCCCGCTCCAGCGTGGCCCTGAGAGCCGGGGGTGGGCGATCTGGGTGCCCCGCGGAGGCTCGAGCCCCACGGGGAGGGGGGGCAGCAGCTCCCTCCTGCCCGAGTCACGACTGCCCCCCCCCTCACGAACCCGCAGAGCCCCGCAGAGCCCCGCAGAGCCGGCAGGAGCGCGGCGCGGCCGGACAGGTGGGCGGAC